CTCAGTAGGCACGTTGTATTTCTTGAAATCAACACGAGCTAGAAGACTGTTTGACAGAGAAAGGCCACTTTCTCCTGCTTCTCCAGTCTAGCCTCCCAGACAGGGCAAGGTCACAGTCACTCCTGTGCCACAGGCCAGGCCCCGGCTCCCTCCTCGCGGGGATGCTTGGACCTGAGCCTGTGTCTCCGAGGATTTTCATGTCTGTCTTTACTCTTCTTCTAGATGCTTTTCTGTTTTTACTTTTGTGACAGTGTTCCTGAGATACAACGTGCAACCACACACTTCACCCAGTGGGAGGGTAAGATTCGATGGTTTGGGCACATTTCCTGCAACCCACCATCACCACGGTCAACTTTAGGACATTTTCGTCACATTACAGAGGATGCTTATTTTGTTTTATCTCGTGGTATTCCTTTATGCCTAAAATCGGAGCGCACGGAGGGTGGGCAGTGGCTAGGGTCCGCGAGCCAGGTGGGGCAAGGAGGCGTGCGGAGGGGAGAACAGCACGCTGTCCTCCCTTCCGAGCTCATCAGCTTTGCCAAGTCAGCTCCTGTTCCTGCTAAGACGGAGAGAGCCAGACCACCACGTTAATCTGGGATGGGAGGAGTCTGGAGCCAGCAGCCGAGGGTGGCCCCGGTCTCCCCTGCGTATCCACCCCCCCCGCCTCGAAAAGCTTCGCCCAGCCCTGTCCTAGGGCATCACCGCTACAGAGGATGATCCATCGCTTTTTGCACAGGGGAGCCCAACTTGTCAAGGGTCCAAGTGCTGAAACATCCACGAGTACCGTTAAGGGACCTAACGGGGATTACAGACGAACAGTTTTTAAAGATAACTATGGCTAGAAATTATTAAGGGCCAGCTCCCTAGCAGGTGCTGAGCCAATCCGCTTATGTGTACTCCCTGAGTTAATTCTCACGGAGACCCCGCCAGGGAAGCACTAACAGGCTCTCCTCTGACAAAGGAGCCTACTGGTCTGTTCACGCAGCTGTCCCAGCCACAGAGCGAATGCGCACCAGAGCCCAGACTGGACGCCAGGCAGCTGGGCTGGGCATCCGCGCCCCAGCATAAGAACCCATAGGCTCCCAGCAGACCCAGCTCCGCGCCTTTTATGCCCTGCTGCAGTAAGCCAGGCCGTCCACCAGGGGGCAATGCCGCCCATGGCGCGCTCGGCACCACCTGGATTTAGCCCAAATGCTGGGACCCTGCGGATTTCAGTTCAGCGGGAACCTTCCCGTCCAAATGCAGGGCAAAGTGCAGCAGGGGGAGGAGCCTGTTCACAGAAAATCGCTCACTGGGGGACGGTGTGTAGGGAAGGCCTGTGAGGGACGCAGGGAGGACACGGACTCTGGGCTCCGAGGCTGCCTGGCTGGGGCTGGGACGGAAAGACACCAAACCAAGAAAAGGGCAACCGGCAACGACTGGATTCTTGTTTTTCTCCAGGCCTGCATCCTGGACCGTGGCCAAGCTACTGAACTTCTCTGACCCTGAGCTTCATTACCTGTAAACGGGCGAGGGCCACCTGTCCGTGGCCACCTGCTCTGTGTGGACAGACAGGCAGGCCACCCGGCTCTTCCCCACCCTACAGGGCAGGGGCAGCCACTGGGGCTCCGGCACGGGACATGCCCCCGCTGAGGCTGTCTGCAGACTCAGCAGCCCCGTTCCTCGGGCGCTCCGTGTGGGGTCCCGTCCGGCCCACTCGGGTTTCCGTCGGGTGGGCGCTACCTGGGCTCTCCCTCCCAGGGACGCTGGACCCATCAACCAACGCTAACTCAAGTGCCAGCACCACGCTTGGCAAACAGTAGGCCCTGAATCAAGGTCTCTGCCTATTGTCCCGATCCACCTGCCTGCCCGCGGTCTGTGAAGCCGTGAGGTCTCCCCAGACGGGACGCACGTCCTTCCCCTCGATCCACCTCCACTTTATGGGTCAGATTATGGTCTGTCTCGGTGAGCGTTCCACTGGAAAATGGGGATTTCGCTGCTGTTGGGTGGGGGGAGGGCCGTATTTGTGCATTAGATCCTATTGGCTGCTCGCATTGCTGGGGTTCCTGCGTCCTGGTGACTTTCTGTCTAGTTCTCCCCATTGCTGAGAAGCCATCGCTGTGAGTTAGTCTGTCCTTCCGCCTCGATCAGCCTTGGCTTCCTGCGCTGAGGCTGTGGTTTGGCGGGGGCACGTCCAGGGGGCTTCTGTCTTCCCTGGGGTCTCAGTCCCAGGGGACCGAGCCTTTACGACTGTAGGATGGGCGTCCTTGTGCCTAGTCCTGTCCTGTGCCCTAAAGTACACTTTGTCAGACATGAATACAGTGGTTCCGTTTTTAAAATTAATGTTGGCATGATAGATCTTTTTAAGTCCTTGTCATTTTTTTTTTTAAGATTTTATTTATTTGAGAGAGAAAGGAGAGAGCACGAGCAGGGGGAGCGACAGAGGCAGAGGGAGAAGCAGGGGCTGAGCAGGGAGCCCGATGCGGGGCTCGATCCCAGGACCCCGGGATCATGACCTGAGCTGAAGGCAGACGCTTAACCATCTGAGCCACCCAGGCGCCCATTTTGTTTTGGTTTTTTTCCGCTGTATGAACAAGTCTTTCACGTGCTCCTGGAAGCCTTGTCGCCAGGTCGTCCCAGCATCCGATTCACCCTGATGTTGGCGGCGGACGACTGTCCTTTCTCACTCATGTTGCGAATGACCCGGTTCTTTGCACACGGGATTTTCCATCGCATCCGGGACCTTCTGGCTATCACGCCAGGAGGCTCTGCGTCCCACTTGCATCTGATGTGTCAGCGGACGGTGTCCCTGCTTGGGCTGGAGAACCAGCCACCGGGTGCTGTGCCCGTGCGGAAGAGTTCAATCACAGTGATGCCACCAGAATTTGGTCCCTGCGGTTTACCTGGTGCTGCAGCTCCCACGGTCCTGGTAGGGCTGCCCGGGTGCGGGAGTGGGCACAGGTGTCTCGGGTAGAAGAGGGGGAGCCGTGGCCCAGCTTCCCTGGCCTGGCCTTTCTGGGGGGTCCCCGGACAGTGGGAGACACAGCATGTTTCCCGGGGCGGGGCAGGGCTTTCTGCCGGTGTCCCCCCACAACCTCACTGTCTCAGATCCATGGGGTCCAAGAGGCCTCATGGGCCAGCTGGGTTTTCGTGGCAGACGCCTTTTGTGGGCACCTGCCCACGAGCAAAGGGCTTTGGGGGCCCACCCCCCACCCCTACTGTGGCCCTGGACCAGGCTTGTAAACAGCATGTAGTTGGGTCGTGTTTTTTGGTTCTCCTCGTTCTGCTAAGCTCTGGCCTCTGATTCCTCAGGAACCTGAAGGCCATTCATTCTTGGATCTTTCACTTGTTACCAACTCAACAGCCTTGCCTCCCAAGCCTGTCCAGACACAGCCAATCCCCGTGTCATGAAGTGTCCCTCCCCTGCATGTTCCCGGGGCCCCAAGTCCACCTGCAAACTCTGATTCCACTTTGAGTCTGCTCTGTGAAATGTGACTCAAGGCCCTGGGGAAGCTCATCTCACGATCCTGGTGACCACACACATAACTCTAGGGAAACAAGGAACCACGATGGAGGATAGGACGTGAGGTCCCCAGTGGGCGGGACCAGGACACAAATAGTCAATAGACCCAGGGTCCCCAGTGGATGGACCTGGGCGCTCATCTCCAGTAGATCCTGGATCCCCAGTGGGCAGGACCTGGGCACCCATCACTAACAGATCCACAGGTCGGGGTCCCGAGTGGCCAGGGCCTGGGTACCGTTCTCCAGAAGATCCACGGCTGGAGGGGGTGGGACCCTGATGCCCATCACTAATAGATCCCGAGCCCTGAGTGGGCGGGACCCAGGTACCCTTCTCCCAAAGATCCACAGCCCAAGGGAGCCGGGCCCAGGAACCCATCGTTAGATCCTGGGTCCCCAGTGGACAGACCCAGGCGCTCATCACCAAAAGATCCAGGGTCCCCAGTGGACAGACCCAGGCGTTCATCACCAAAAGATCCAGGGTCCCCAGTGGGCAGGCGGAGGGCCCACCACTAATAGATCCAGGGCCCAAGGGGGTGGACCCAGGTGCCCATCTCCAATAGATCTGGGTCCCCAGTGGGTGGGACCCAGGTGCCCATCACCAGGACATCCATCAGTAGTAGCCGCTGAGCGATGAGCAGGGAGTTAATGCGCACATGACAAGCTCCCGTCCAGGCAAGGCCTGGTGGTGGCCGGTGCTCCAAAAATCCTCTGGGCTGACTCTACTGCCGCCCCCCGGAAACGTCCTGTTGGACGAGACTCTCCCAAGTGTGCCTCCTCGGCCTTACGCTCCTGGCTGGGGCCAGAGCGGTCACGGCATTTCAGCCATGGGAACGGTCCTGCCCCAGCCCTTAGCCTTATGATTGCTGTGACCCCCAGCCTGCAGTGGGGAAGGCAGAGCCTGCTGAGCCCAGTGACCGTCCACCCACTGGGGGCCCCCTGACAGCTGCTCAGGGCTTTAGGACACACAGCGCATGAGGGCCACGGGTCCTGTGTCCCCGTCACCTAAGTCGGGAAGGAAATCAGCCAGGCAAAGGGAGCCCAGCTCCAGGAAGGCAAAAAGCCAGCACGATGGGCCCCCACCTGGCGGGGGAGCCCCCCCGGAGGCTGGGGAGCACCACCAGGAGGGTGGCAGTGGGCAATACCTGCATCCCTCGAAGCAACAGGCGAACCCACAAAACTTCATATTCGGGTTCAGCCCCAACGCGGTAGACGCCTGGAAGGTCCCCTCGGGGGCTGAACATCAACACAAACCAGGTCCTAGGAGTAACAGCACGGCAATTAAAGTCTTATTCTCTCTGATTATAATTTTTCAAAGGTCTCTGGGCGGAAATCTTAAAATATATTCCTAAAGGCCAAACATATGTGAATTTATAACCGAATCCAACGCTCCATAAAAAATCCACTTCAAACTCCCAGTGAAACACGTGCGTGACCCAAGTGCACACACGGACACACAGACGTACACGCCCTCTGGGCGCTTCCAGCCGACACAACTAATGTCTGCCTCGCCGAGGCTTTCCCGCGTGTATAATTTTATTATACTCTGAATAGAGAGGGTATCTGAAAAGCAGAGAAAATGACTATACAAAGGGTTTATAGAACATTCATTTACATAACTGGATATATTCTTTACAATATAAGAAAAGTAAAAATACCCACTAATAAGCAAGGCAGCTAAGGAGACACGAGGTCTTTGACACTGAGGATGCACACGGCGACCCTTAAATTCGGTGTGACTCGCCGCGGGTATAGATTAACACTGGAGGAACACAGCGTCCGGTTAATGAGCAGGTTAATAGGACCCTGGCTGTGACGCGGTGGGGACCCTCGACCTCCCCGGGACGGGACCCCCGTGCCAGGGATCGCGCGGAGTGTCCCCGAGCCTGCGTGGGGGTGGGGGTGCAGCTTGCCATGCTCTGAGCCCCCAGTTCGTGGATTCCTCTCGTTCTGTGTGATGCACGTGTAACATAGGAAGAAACCTGTCGTACCAGCTCGTCAGGAACCAGGGAATCGGCGTCCCTAGGCTCCGCAGAGGGAGCAAACTTCCCGACACCCTGGCCACTGCGAGGAAAAGCCACAGCCGGCCGGTCTGTCTCACAGGCCAGGGAGTGCGTCTTCTTGAATGCTCTGGACAGGGACCACACAGGAGGCCCCGATGCCCATATCGTCCACCAGCTTGTGCTTCTGGGCCCCACCCCCACCCGCTCTCCGGTCTGTAAACGAGCCCTCTCGTCCTTGGTCGGAAGGATGAGGGACCCGACCTGCGGTCTTTGGGTCAAAATGGGTAGAAGCCACCTTGGGATGAGGTGCCCCTTGGGGACGGCACCTTGGGTCCCCTTGGCTGAATTTCTGCCACGAATGGAATCCCAACATGCCAGCCGCCCCTGCCGAGGACCAGACCCCGGGGCCCCCGGGAGATACCAGTGCATTCCACACCAACACCTGTCGGGGAAGAAGGTCCGCGAAGACCAAGGCAGACATTTGGCACAGAAATGAGGCACTTATGTTTGGTGCATCGACAGGAGCTGCAGTGGACCCGTCCACCTGCTTTCACACACGTACGACACCCCCCTGCGTCTCGCTTCCAGCTCTGCCAGTCGGCACGTCCGTCTCTGACCCGTTTCACACAGAGAACTCACAACCACGTTTCCACCCCTGGTGTGGTGCCCGCTGGTGACTCGCGGGGGGGCCGAAGAGCTGATCTTGATTTTGGAAAGTCGGGCAGAGTGGGCAGCTCCCCGGGCCCCAGAGCCGCGGGGCGTCCCGGCTGTGCGGGAGGAGACCGAGCCTCCCGTCTGCCGTTGTCAGCCCCAACTCCCGCCCTGGGGGACACACTGGAGGCTTGGCGTGACCAGCACCCCTGATTCGGTCGCCCAGGAGATGCAGAGGAGTGGCCCTCAGCTCAAGAACAGCCTTGAAGGACTGAGATTCATCATCTTCCTCCCCTTCCTCCTCTGCTCGGGAGGCCAGAAACACGTAGAGGCGGGAACAAGGGGCCAACGGCTCACAGAGGGCCGAGAAGAGCCGTGGAGAGCAGGGCCGAGTCTCCACCCAAAGGTGACCCACCCTCCGGAAACTTCCTCCCCAGAAAGGACGTCACCCGCCGCCGCCTGGACCCGAACTGTCCATGGCAAGGACTGGGGTGGTACTGGGGTGGTCAAGGCTGCTGTGGCCGGCCTGTTGGGGACGCGGCCCTTGATCGTGGGCATGGGTTCGGCTTGGCAGCCCCCAGAAGTGGGACCCCGTCCTGCCCAGCAATTTATCATAAATAGTTTGGCATAAGTAGAATATAAATTATATGAAAAGACATTTCGCGTCCATGTTCCCTCTGCTCTCACGGACAACATGCCGTTCGGAGCCAGAGTGAGAGCCTGGAGCTGCCACCTGCCTGCCCGGCCGGGGCTCACGGTGCCCCTCCCCCGGGACTGGGTGGCCTTCCTGGTCCTCACAGCCATCACGTCACCCCCTCGCTCATGCCCCCAGAGTTCCGGAAGGGCCTGACCTGCACGAACCTTCAGCAAACATGCATCCCCTTCTCGGTGAGCTAGCGTCTCTGTCGTGGAGGAGGGAGGCCTCCCCCTGGGTGCTGGGTGGACGGGGGCCCTCCATGAGGCTGATGGCGCCGCCGGTCACCCAGGGGCCACGTGCAGGGGCCGGGCGCCCTCCTCACCACAAACGCCGGCGTGCAAGGAACAGGGGGGCCCCTGCCGGCGTGGAGCCCAATTTCCTCCACCCGGGAAGCGCTTGGCCACAGAGACGTGTCAGTGAGCAGTCTTTCAGGAAAGGACAGCAGAAGGGGGGGCCATCTGTCCTCCTGTCCGTGAAGCCGGAGGAGGAGCCCCTCGCCCTCCTGGGGCTGGAACGTCAGGCTGGCCAGTTGCTTCGCGGGGGACGCCCCAGCCCCGCTCGGGTCTCTGGCTGGGAGGGGCTCAGATCTTCTTAGGGGACCCGATCATGACCTTTGACACGAAGTTCACGATGGCACTTGCAGGCTGCTCGGGGTCGTGCTCCGCGAATAAGTGGCACACATTGTCCGTGGCGCTGCCCTGTTTCCGGGCCACAAACCCGAAGACTCTGCAACAGGAAAGGGGGTGAGGCCAGAGCGCCAGCGTCCCGCAAGGCCCAAGTGTGGGTGCAAACCTCTGTCCGCTCCCTCCCTGCACCACCGCAACCTCCACCCGCCACTCACCACCACCCAGCCAGACACCTGCCCACAGCTGTCCACCTCCCAAACCTCGCAGGGACAGCAGGTGCATGGCCGGCCACCGCCCCGGGCCACTCCTGGCCGGAATCCTGCAGACGCGGGTCAGGGCAGGTCCCTGAGCCCCCACCCGGCCGGTGGCCTGACTCTCCCAGGGGAGGCCAGGCTCCCCAGGTACCGGGGTGGGGCAATCAGATCACGTGGGGGCACACAGGTGAGGGCCGCACGTGGCCACCCTCCCGCCCTTGGGGGCCAGAAGCTCTCCTCTCGGGCCTCCTACACCCCAGTTACAAACTATGGGCAAGTAAGGAACTATTAGAAGAATCGGAGCTGTTCTCCGAATGGGCTTTTGTGAGACCTGAGTCTCACGCGGGGACCTCCGTTGTCCCCGGGAAACTCCTTCTGCTCCTTCTTAAAAAAAATGAAGGATTCTTTTGTTCCAGGGGAGCGGTTTCCCAGCCATGAGAGGGACTGGCTCAAGGAACCCCGATGAGGTGGCACATTCCACGCGGCTGGGAGCGCCGTCAGCCCCACGTGCCAGAGCGTGGGGCCTCCGGGTACTTTATCAGATCCCAAGGCCAACAGGAATGTGAACCAGAGACGCTACAAGAGGATCTTTGTGGTCTGACCTATTCCTGGCAATCAGATTTAGGTTACATGGAGGAAACCGGGCTGGGGAGCGCCAACAGCTCCGAAAGGTTCTGGGAGCGCCCCTGCCTGGCGGGACTGGCCTGCTGTGGAGGCAGGGCAGGCGGAAACCGTGCTCCCCTTGCATCTGGAAAACGCTGAACACTGTGTCATTCACAGTCACACAGGGGAAGTCCTTCCTCCACCCTGACCTCGATGCACCTGCAGTCCACGCCCGCCCTGAACAGCCCAAAAAGCCATGCATTCGCCTCCACGCTATTTTCGCCACATACGGGTCCGGGGTCTGTACTGTGCTTCCAGGAAAGAGCAAGCAGGAAAGTGAACCCCAGGAGGCCCTTCCTGCAGAAGGACACACTTTCGTTTGTGTTCATGGCACAAACCCGTTGGCATGGTTCCCTCATTTCCTTATGGGAAACCCTCTTTGGAAATCTGTACAAAGATGCACTTTGGACCGTGACAGGAAGGGCGCTGGCGTCCCGTGAACCTACCTCGAGCAGGGGCCATCCGTGATCCACCTTGCAGATTAAAAAGAAAAGGAAGAGTTACGTTCACTTCTTTATTAATTTAACAGGCAAAGGATGCACACGCATCGCCTGATACAAATACAGATGTCTTACTTCCGGTCCTGTGGATCCAATGCGCAGAAGATCACGCTGCTCACGGGGTAATGTCTCCGGAAGAAGAGCCTATGGGGACACGGGGGGGGGGCACGCTCTGTTAGTGGGCGTGAGGGTGACAGGGACGCATAGCGCAGGCTCCCCCGAAGGAGAGTCGGGCGGAAACCGACTGGATTACTAGTCACTTGGAGAGAAGGACCGTGCGTACGCCCGTTAGAAACGGGCAGGTGGACGCGGGGCTGAGCGGTGCTGGAAAAGCTGGCTCTTGGCAAGAGGGAAGCATACAGCAGAGTAACATCGTGCACCTGCCAGCCACGCGGAGGTCGGGACCGAACCCCGGAGCCCCAGCATGGCCCTGGAGGAGAGCCAGGGAGCCCGGCCTTCCTGTGCTCGGCCCGAGAACCGCCGACCATGTCCAGCCACCGACCGTCTCCAGCCGAACTTTCCTCACTGGGGACACGGTGTCCAGTAAGGCCGGCCACTCTTGGGGACTGGAGCCCACATCAGACATGAGGAAGGAGCTGACGGCACACTGCGAACGTACAGACTAGCTGTGGGGTGGGCACAAGGGGCGGGTCGGGGCTGCCCCACCGGCCGGCACTAGGGGACTGGCCTTGTGCCCCGTGACCCTCCTGCCATCCCCCTGCTTTTATGGCCGATGACCTGGCTCTCTTATTAACCACACCGGGCTGTTTCCAAAACAAGTGAACAACAAGTGCATTGGAAATGTCTTTGACTCTGAGGTCAGGGGCTCCGTGGGGGCGGGGGGGGACGGGACATGCTGCTGTCTGTGCACCTGACTCTGCTCCCCGTTCGGACTGTGGCCCTACTATGTTCCCGGGACACCTGCTAGGTAGAACCCACTCAGGGACAGCTCTGCTGAAAGCCACCGAAATTATTATCTAGTATCTACATATTCGAACACCATCTAGATAACATTTAGTATTGTAACGTATTATACAATAGATGGTCATGAATAACTATTACTAGTATTAGTTGCTCTTAATATATAACTAATGGCTACATTACAATTAATTATCTAGATACTGGACTAACATCTAGCAAGCTCACAGTGTCACCTGAAACGGAACGACCACCAGTCAGATGTAACGACACCAAACCAAAGACGGGTGAGTTCTATCACAGTCTCCCAGTGTTTCGACAGAATCGAGCTCAAAGATTTTTGAGTCTAAAAATTATACTCGTGTGTGCGCGTGACACCCAAAGGTCCAAATCTCTCTCTCTCTTTTTTTTCTTTACAAGTTTACTGACTCCTAAGAAGAAAACGTCTGCGCCGAATGTCCACGGTTTACACGCAGCTCCTGGGAGGTCCTGAAGGACAGGGACGCGCCGAGGAGTGACGCGTCCAGAGCCACGTCCCGGGGACACACGGGCCGGCGGGAGGTCTGACCCCAGGTGCGCCCAGAAGCCCGCCCGCAGCCCAGCGCCCAGGCACACTCACTTCCTCTGGTTGTCCGTCAGGGTGATGCCCTGGGCCGACACCTTGAAGTGCACGACCGTACACAGGGGAGACGGCTCCTGCACGAGGGTGAGGCTCAGGGCCTTCTGGACGGCCTGGGGGCCCGTGAGCGACTCCATCTCCACGGAGTTCAGGTACCACACGTTGCAGGCTGCAAGACACCCAGGGAAGCAGGGTGTTCACTGGAGGCAAAGCCCTCGGCCCCCCATTCCGCAGGCGTGGACGGGGAGGGACCAGGGACACACGTGCCCCGAGGCCCCGTCCCGGAAGCCTCCCGCCGCCCCTGCCGCCGTGTCCCCAGTGGGGCTGGAGACCCCTCCCCAGCCTCGGTGCGGGTGGGGGTCCACGGCACCACCGCAGGTCAGTAAACGTGCGAGAGGGAAGCCAGAACCCCAAAGAACCGTCCTGCACAGACTGCTGGAAGTGACGGCGCCCAGAGCAGCGGGGACGATGCATGAGGCGTATGACTTGGGGCAGAGGCTGCGTGAGGAAGGCGCGGGTCGGCCCGTCCTGTCTGGGTCATAGCCCCGCCCTGCCACGGGGCTGGGCTTCTCGGGGGGGACGGGGAGCAAACTGTCGAGTGTGAACAGGGCTTGGTAAACAGCCTGACGGCCCTCTGAGGATGCACCCCTGCAGCTCATGCAGAAGCTGACGTGGGACCTTGGGGCACGTGTGAGGTCGGTGTGTCCCGAGACACTCGGACTCTGCCTACCGCTCGCTCCCAGCAGGAGCCACGGCCCCGCCTGGCCAGCCACCAAGAACATGTCCCTCCCAGCTGCCACCACCCCCAAGAACAGAGCCGCCCGTGCCCCTGCCCTGCCGGACGCCAGGCTCCACGTGAGCGTCCGCGGCCTGCGAGCGGCTAGCCATCCACGGCCTCGAGGCAAATGCTGCGATTCACAGCTCATCTTCAAAGCCTGGGAAGCTCTGGGGTCCCAGAAGCCCCTGCTTCCATGAGTAAGCCCCAGGTCTGCACCAAGTTCTTCGGAAAACAAAGCTTCGCCCTTGATCCTGGGGTGCTGAGCATGACAAGCATGTCGGCCGGGGTCTCACCGACGTCACGGGGAAAAGCCACTGGAATCGAATCACTGTTGGAGCCACTGAAGAGGCCCAACGGGAAAGGTCCAGAATGAAGGGAAGGAACAGATTCCAGAAAGCCTCCCGGGAACGACGCAGCCCAAGGCTGGAGAAAGGGGTCTTCAGCGAGAGCGGGCACCACACGGAGCCTGCCACGCTCACTGCGGGGAGCTACCCCACTTCCTCTAGAGGACACAGCCCCCGAACTCGCCATCAGCGGCAGTCTCCTCCGAGACCCCAGCTTCCCCTACAAAGTTCCCTGAACCACTCCCTAGCTCTCACCAGAAGCAGCTGGAGACCGCACCCCTGTACCGGTCGGAAATGCGCTGTGCCGCCAGGCAGCATCTAAAGAGAACTCTCCACCCCGAACACAACCGTTTCCGTGTCTCTGAGCTCCGCTAAGGCTGCTCATTCTGAGGACGATCCCTGCATGTCAGGCCATGGCGGACACTTTCCAGAGACTGTCTCAGCCCATCTGCACCTGTCCCGTGGCGGAGGAGGACACAGTGGCCTGGAGACCCCAAGAAGCGGTCCAGGAGCCTCGCAGCCAGCCCCTGGGCGTCCACGCCACCGTGTCCTGACACCCCAGCTCCATACTGCTGCTGCAATGTCCACGGAGAAACTACGGGGTACCGGGCACGCTCAGTGAGAAGCGTCCAACGTTCCCGAGGTGCGCTGTGGATTTTACAGTGAGGCACGCAGGCTGTGTGCGAGCGTCCCTGGCCACAGATAACGCCCCCTGACAACGCCACGTGCCCGTCCTGAGAGCAGACGCACCTTCAGAAGGTCGCACCTGCGCCTTCTCACCCAAAGGGACACTCAGGGGTGGGCGGGAGTCGGAGACGCACCCGCTCCCTGCGGCTGGCTGGCACGGACCCGAGGGAGCGGCAGGGATGGTGGCGATCTGCACTCCAGCTGCCACCTGGACTTGAGGGGTTTACATGTGTCGCTTGGGACAGAGCACATGTTGGCACATTACAACGTAGCCACCCAGCACCCCACGCCTGCCACACTCTGATGAAACGCTGGGTCAACCCGGATGGCCCTTCTGGACAACGCGGTCATCTTTATCAGGAGGCTCAGAAGGGAAATCTTCCATAACCACGGTGGACGACCAGCCCAGAGGTGGGGCTATGGGAGCCTCGCGCTGACTTAGCGGGGAAACGGGGAATGGCTCAATGAACCCCACACGGAAAACCAAGCAACCAGCAAATGGCAGTCACACCACACGTACAGTGACAAGAAGACAGGTGGCCACGGCCGACGCTCCCGGGTGGTTCACGGGAAAGTCGGGAAGAGAGTGGGTCCTAGGATTTCTCAGCTCAAGGAGAACCTTTCTCTCTTCTCCTCTTCGTATTGTGTCTACACAAGAAGACGGACGTGAGCTGAGCCTCCGGGGTGACCACCTCACGACTTAGATAATCAAACCCTCTCGCCATGCGCCGTAGGCCTGCGCAGGGACAGTACGTCAACTATTTCTTAAACCCAGAAAACCGTTAGAGGTTGATGGGAAAGCAGAATAAAAACCATATTCATGCTACGATCACAAGTATGAAAGAAGAAGTGTGTGTGTACGAGCCGGAGATGGATGGGTGCCTGGAAACTTCAAGACCGCGTGATTTTCGGAGGGTGGATATTCTACCTTTGATTTCATTAGCGTTACTGTGATGCATTTCCAAAAACAGGAAGACAAGGAATTCTGATCAAACGACAGTGAAATCCCACCAAACGGGCACAGCCTGGGTCTGCGCCAGGACGGGCGGCCACCAACCCAGACCCCGTCTCCCTTGTGGCACCACAAATGGCCTTTTGATAAGGAGTCGGGGTTTGGGGAATCTCACCCCTAAAGGAGTCATTCCTCAAAGCAGAAGAGGGAAGCTGTCACTTGATAAAGCACACCTGGGGGCAGGTCTGCTGAGCCCACGGGTCCGTCCCGGAGCCCTGCTCTCCAGCAGAGGAGGGAGGATCCACAGGGTGACTGGTATTTGTCCACCCAGCCTGGCCCCCGTCGTCCAATTCCACCTGACACGTGGTCCCGGCGCGGGGCGGGGGGGGGTCGCCTTGTGGAGCAGGGCTGCCTCCTGTGAACGGGGCCGTGCCCATCAAACCCATGGGTACAAAGCCTCAGGAACACATGACTTCACCCAGCCCTACTGCGTCTGGGAACTTGGGTCCTAAGAGAGCAATGCAAGATTCTGAAAAAAGACATAAAGCAGAAAGGTAGCCTCCCAAGGGTTGTCTGTAGTACTGAGAAGCCAGAAACAAGCCAAACGAGCAGAGCAACCGTAAGGAGCTGAGTCATAAGACGGACCACCTCGCAGCCACTGAAAACGAGACCTATGTGGTGTGCAACAAAAATGGGTGAACTTCTTACTCAAAGCGAGAAAAGAAAAAACATCCAGGGTGGTCTGGGAAACAGGCGTCTGAGCAGTTCACCTTCCCTCTCTCTTCCATGTCTCTTCCCTTTTTTAATAAAGATTTTATTTATTTATTTGTCAGAGAGGATGAGCACGAGCAGGGGAAGGGTCAGAGGGGAAGGGAGAGGGAGAAGCAGACTCCCCGCCGAGCAGAGAGCCCGATGCGGGACTCGATCCCAGGACCCTGAGATCATGACCTGAGCCGAAGGCAGACGCTTAACCCACGGAGCCACCCAGGCGCCCCTATCCT